TGGGAGAGGGAGAAGCAGGCTTCCCGCGGAGCAGGGAGCCCGATGCGGGGCTCGATCCCAGGACCCTGGGATCACGACCTGAGCTGGAGGCAGCCGCTTAACGACTGAGCCACCCAGGCGCCCCATGTGCCAGCTCTTAATATAACTTATTTATACTTTTGACAGTTCATCAGTGTTGGCCTTATTATCCCCATTTTATAGATGAGAAGACTGTTAACTTGTCCAGCCTGTGAGACTCAAAAGTCATGAGCTTTCCATATATTCTGCTGCCTTTTCTGAATGCAAATTGAAGCAGATGGATTTGGCCCTAGACCTGCCTGTTGTTAACTGTGTGGGTCTGCACCCAGCTCTCTCCACCCCTCTGCCCCAAACTATGAAGTCCCCATCTGTAAAATGAAGAACATGAAGCATCCAGCACAGGCCTGGCAAGAAGTCAGTACCCAGTGAATTGTACGTTTATAAAAACGCAGTGAAGTGTTTTGCAAACAGCTGTCCCACCTTAGGGGCCCTTGCTCTCACCCCCCGATCAACAGAGCCTGGATCTTGGCTCTCGTTCTGTGCTATCTGGGGTCCATCTGTGCCTGTGCAGTGAGCTGAAGCCTGTCTCAAGACCAGGATGTGAAGCCTGACTCTAGCCCCAAATCTCTGCAGGCCTGAACTCCTCTCTCTCTGAAGAAAGGCTGGGCAGGGCCGCCTGTCCTTGCGACACCCAATCCCTTGGACTGCAAGCCCGCCCCAGGCATCCAGATACAAAAAGACTCCATTTCCCAGGCTGGGAACACTGCCAGCCCCAGCTTGTTGAGACAGACCCACCCCTTGGGGAAAGCAAAGAAGGCCCCAGGGGCAGGAGAGGGAGCTCGGCATCGGCCTTACAGCGAGCTCTTTGCACTTGGTGCCCACTCCTGGGGGACAAGCCCAGCTGGTCCCACCAGCAGGCGGCACCTCCCCCGGTGGGAAATTAGGAGTCAAGCATACACTACCTCTGGACTATAGTACCTGCCCATTTGCCAGGTGGAGCCTGAAAATGCCATTATTCAACAACAACAAAAAATGGAGCTCCTGTATGCCAGGAGCTGGGGATCCAGAGATAGAGAAGTTGCCGCATGCTGAGCTTCCACCCTCTCAAGTGGTAGTGACTCGAACACACAGAGTGATCGATGTGTGAGTGGTCGTTACGGTAAGCTGCGTAGGCAGTAGCCCCGGGGGAGGCGGCTCTACCACTAGATCTGGGGTTCTTCTGGAGCCTGCCATGCACTCTGGGTGTAGTACCATGATGAGGAAGGGGCTTCCACACATGCCCTCGCCTTAAGCTTGTAGTTGACCTTCATGGGCTTGGCAAAACCTCCCTTGTTCCTCCTGGAGGAGCCCTGGCTCCAGCTACAGGAATTTCCATCTCCGACTTGCTTTGGGGCAGTTGGCTCTGCACTTTGGTAAAGCAGGACCTCTTTACTCTTCCTTGCTTCTCCTCTATTATACTCAGTTGCCTCACCCAGGCCCTCCCAGAGTGCTCTTTCTGCAAGAGAAAGCCTGAGTTGGAGAGCAGACCTGCCTTGGGGGGGCCACACCGTTGTCTGTGGCCCCCACCTGCAACCCATGTCCTGTCCTGCCTGGGGATCCAAGAGCCAGGACTTGCAGCAAATGGGGCAGAAATGAGACCCCACAGAGCGGGTGGTTTCTCTAGTTGTGACTTTCTTCGCCCCATTGGTACTGGGACTGGTTACAGCCTAGTCCCCTGACCCAGATTTCTCTCCACGTTTCCAACGGGTCCTGTGAGACCTTCTTGCCACCCTTCAGCTCTCCTTTGACCCTCACCATTCCCAGGAACCACAAGCCCTCCTAACTGCCCCTCCTGGCATCTCTGGGGTGGGCGGGGTCTCCCGCCGAGAGCTCACTGTGAGCTAAGTTTGCCCTAGCCCTGTTTTGTTCACTGGCCCTGGAATAGGTGTGGTCTCGCCCTCAGGGCTGATGGGGAATTCTGCCACCATTCAGCCTGCCCTTCCTGCTGCCAGCTTCCAGGCGTCCCCTGTCCCCTCCCCAAACTCAGGGCACAGGGAAGCCAGCGATGACCCAGCCCTAACCAGGGTCCCAGGCTTGCAGCCCTGTGGGGGATACAGAAACAAAAGTCTTCCCCCTGCCTTTTGACACCTCAGGCTGGTTGCTGAAATGAGCCAGCGGAGAAGGGCTGGGGACTACCATGTGGCTGCTCTTGGCAGACATTGTTCGGAAAGACACTTAAAAAAAAGAAGTCCTGAGTCTTGTAGTTTAGAGACAGCCACCGCCTAGGCGTGGGGTGCTGCAAAAGGAAAGGGTCCAGGGCCCACAGGACACTGCCGTGGGTCCGCATTGACTCGAGTCAGCTGCGTGATGTGACAGACTCCGTTGGAGCCGTGGCAGCAAATGACAGGATGTGCAGCATGAAGGAGGGGCTGCTGTCTTGCCAGGCTCGGTCCTGGCCAGATCCCATGCACTTACCTCGGGGCCTGGGCCCACCTGAGTGCTTCCAGAAGTGAGCAGCCACGGGAGTGAAAGGTTAGGAACAGCTGGGGCTGTTTAGCCACAAGATGAGAAGATTCGAAAGAAGGTAAGAAAGTCTCCAAATATCTAAAGGACTTTTTTTTTTTTTAAAGGTTTTATTTACTTATTTGTCAGAGAGAGAGAGAGAGAGAGAGCACAAGCAGGGGGAGAGGGAGAAGCGCACAAGGCCTGATCCCAGGACCCTGGGATCATGACCTGAGCCGAAGGCAGACGCTTAACTGACTGACTCACCCAGGCGCCCCTAAAGGACTTTTAAATGAAAGAGATTAGATGAGACCCCAGGGACCCAACGAAGCCCAGCAAGAGTGAAATTGGGGGCAGGAGCTTTAGTGCGAGGGCGGCAGACAGTGCAGAATGACTGGTGGTAGCCGCCCACGGCGCTCTGCCGCAGAGGATTCTGGGCTCGCGTCTGGGGTTGCTAGGGAAGCGTGCCAGACTCAGTGATGCCATCTGGCAGGGTGCTGGCCGGGAAGCCGCTCCACTGGTGCCATGTACTTGCCACCTGCTTCCCAGTTAGTGCTAGAAAGACCCTCCAAACGCTGCAGGTTATAGGAAGGTGACCGGGTGTGTCAAGCAGTCATTTCCCAAGGGCCCAATGCCCTTGCAGACCACAGGCTCCTGATATTTTTTGTGCCATCGGTCCATTTGACAGTCTGGTAAAGCCTAGAATATTGTTTTTAAATGTGCATTTAGGGGCACCTGGGTGGCTCAGATGGTTAAGCGTCTGCCTTCGGCTCAGGTCATGATCTCAGGGTCCTGGGATTGAGGGCCGCATCGGGCTCCCAGCTCAGCGGGGAGTCTGCTTCTCCCTCTTCCTCTGCCTCCCCCATGCTTGTGCTCTCTCTGCCTCTCTCTCTCAAATGAATGGGTAAAATCTTAAAAAAAAAAAAATGCAGTTAAAGGTTTGGACTACAGAAAAAGTCACTTATGTTGAAATAAAGTTATCAAAACATTGAAAAAGCCAATTTGTGCTATAGTAATATCGTGTGTATACACTTCTTGACACAGAATATTATAAGCAGTGGGTCTAATTACTGTGATTTTGTAGTAGCGATGATTGTAAATGCCACTTCCCGGTTCCTGCAAGGACTCTGATGTGCCACCGAGAAGAGTAGCCGTGACTTGTGTGTGTGACTAAGTCACAGGTACTGCGGGGCTACATTCACAATGTGAGGAAGTGCTACATTTCAGCTAAAGGTTTCTGGCCCGCACCCCCCCCCCTTGCTGTCCACAATCCCAGATGAAGACTTCCTGCTGCGGGAGCTGGCCTCTTGGAGAGGGAGGCTCACGCTGAGCCAGGTCCCCGTAGTCTGGCCTCGGCGTTGAGAGGAGCGAGCTTGTCCACAGATACCAGGGGCCAGAGTTGCAGAGCCAGCGCACTGCCAAGGGTTTGACCTTCTCTGTCTCTCCGCTGCAGGTGGGCAGACAACTTCGTGGCCCCGGGCTGTGGAGGGAGCAAGGAGCACAGCTTCCAGCATCCCTTTCTCCAGGTATCCGCCCAATCCATCCCCACCTCCTATGGCCCGGGGCTCAGGTCAGGTGTCCCCTGTGAGGCCCTGCTGCTTCCTGACCTGGGGTGGAGCCTGCCTCTACTCCCAGAAGAGCCATCACTCTCTCCAGAACAGAGGCCAGGATGTGAGTGCCCATGGACTGGGGCAGAGGGCACAGCCCTCTCTGGGAGGGCTGCATGATTCCCGGGGAGCAGTCATGCCCTGGACACTGGAAGGCCAGCGCTCACACGTCCACATCAGGACCCATTTGGAACACATCAACCCCAGTAGCAAAACCGGCTCGCCATCCATGGGAAGCCCAGAGTCCACTGGGGTGGGGCAGACAACATAAATGGAAGGCACCGTGTGGCCAGACTGGGAAGCAGAGGCTCATATTTCAGCCCCTGCTCTCCCAGCAATTTGCTCTGTGACCCTAAGTAAGTTCCTGAGCTTCTCCGGGCCTCCGTTTCTCCATCTGGAACGTGACCAGAGGTTGGCCTAGATCGGTGGTTTTCAGACCAGGCCCTGTGCAGCCTTAGGGTTTCCGTCGAGATGTTTCTGGGGGTTAGGGCTTAGGCCTAGGAGGTAGTCTCTGGCCTTCCACACACAGCAGCTCTGCTTTTGTCCGGTTTAGGTGTCAAGTCATAGGTAAGCTTTTGTGTGAAGACGGGCTGTGTTAAAATTTTGTCCAAGGTGATTCTCCTTCCATCTCTGAACTTGTAGGGTTCTGTTTCTGCAGGCAGTGGGCATGTTCCTGGGGGAGTTGTCCTGCCTGGCGGCCTTCTTCCTGCTCCGGTGCAGAGCTGCGAGGCACCCAGATGCCAGCATGGATCCCCAGCAGCCCTTCAACCCCCTTCTTTTCCTGCCCCCTGCCCTGTGCGACATGACAGGGACCAGCATCATGTATGTGGGTGAGTAGCCAGGCCAGGCTGAGAAGGGCCCGAGTGGGCACTGGTGAAACAGCCACCCCTACCCCAGCTCACCTCAGCCCTGCCTCTTCCCAGACTTACACACGCATGTGCATGCGTGCGAGCAAGATTTACTGAGCACATACTATGTGCAAGGTGTGTCTTCAGCCCTGAGGGCACCTCAGGGACTAGATAGCCTTGGCCCTCAGGAGCTAATATCGTGTGTCTCTCCTCTCCCAGCCCTGAACATGACGAGTGCCTCCAGTTTCCAGATGCTCCGGGGCGCAGTGATCATATTCACAGGCCTATTCTCAGTGGCCTTCCTGGGGCGGAGGCTGGCGCTGAGCCAGTGGCTGGGCATCCTTGCCACCATCGTGGGGCTGGTGGTTGTGGGCCTGGCCGACCTCCTGAGCAAGCATGATGATCAGCACAAGCTCAGCGAAGTGATCACAGGTGCAGTGAGGGTCGGGGACCCAGGGGCTTCCCATCTTGTCCTGTCCTCCCTGGGAGCCCAGCACAGTCAGTCAACAGACTTTTGCAAGCTCTTCTCTATGCCCAGTCCTGGGTGTGGGTGCATGAGGGACGCGGGCCTGCATCTGCTCTTGAGGTGATGGATAGAGTGCAGAAAAGCCCAAGCAGCATGAGAGGGAGCGGGAGGTCAGAGGGGGGAGGTTTGTACTGTGACACACACACAAATTGCTGGGTCCAGGATGGGGAGGGACTGAGTGTCTATTGAGTGTTTACCAAGTACCCAGCCCGGCAGCCTCTTCGACAATGACGGGACCCCTCTGGTCCTCAGAGGATGGACTAAACCAGAAACATCTATCACCCAGCCTTGTGCATCTCAGAAGACCTGCTTATTACCCCGCTGTGCCCCTCACAGTCCCAGGCGGGCCTCTGGATCTTCTGGAGCCTCGGCCCAGAGTGGTAACAGTGCCTGCCCTGCTGGCCTGCCCCACCTCTCAGGGGCCAGGAGACCAGGCATGGGGCTGTCGTGACTGCCTCACGAACTCTATGCCACCCTGCGAAATCGGGGGCTCTGGGGGTTATCGTGTCCCTGTGGGAGCCATCTACCCCAGCACTGGGCCCACCCCCCTGCCGAGGGCCCCGTGGCCATGCTCCATCCTCGCCCCCCACCCCCACCCCATGCAGCCCAGCCTTACCCTGGCTCGCTTCCCCACAGGGGACCTGTTGATCATCATGGCCCAGATCATCGTCTCCATCCAGATGGTGCTCGAGGAGAAGTTCGTCTACAGGCATAATGTGCACCCGCTGCGGGCGGTTGGCACTGAGGGTGTGTGAGCACAGGGGCTGAGAGGGGTAGCTGCTGCGGGGGCACCCTGGACGGTGGCATGTGGAGGGGATGCACAAGCAGGAGTGCAGGGCAAGGTGCCGGGGTCCACGGGGAGGGGATGAGCCCCACCCCCAATCCTCCCTCCCTTCCCGATGTGTGTGCTGACAGAGACTGACCCAGGAGCTGGGGGGGGGCACGAGGTCGAGGGTGAAGGGGATGCATGGCCCACTCTAGAGGAGTTGGCCAACAGGGAAGGACCAGACAGTGCCTTTGAGCTCAGACCACTTGTGCTCAAGTGCTGTTTCACTTGACAAGCACATCTGAGTGTCTTCAGGATGGGGAAGGTGGTGGTCGAGCTACAACAAGAGTGGGAAGGAGGGAAAGTTCCAGACAGAGCAAAGACATGGGGAGCTGGCCATGAGTGTCAAAACATAGTAAGGAGTGGTTGGTGAGATACAGGTTTGATGTTGGGACACTGATCGGGAATTGAATAGGTCAAGGTCTTATTATGGAGAACCTTGAATGTCAGGCAAGTGGATTTAATCCAGACTTTAAATGACAGACAGGGTGGAACCACCAAAAGTTTTTGAACAGGGAAGTAACTACCAAAACCTTTAAGCTTTAAAAATACGAGGCCAGCAGGGCAGATGAGCACAGCACGGGCCATGTGTGGCCTGTGGACCCAGCAGGGAGCTGTGCGTGCGCCATGGGCTCCTGGCACAACGTTAATCATCTCAATCCACTGCATCATCAAGCACATTGTTGTATCCACTCGGTTTTTTCCCCAGTGAGGCTTTCTGAATGGAGCAGTGCATTGATTCACATTCTGGTCCACTCCTGGTCACAGACCAGTGACCCTGAATTAGAGAACACTTGTTTTTCCACGCTTGTGAGAGTAATGTCCTGGTTGCAGCTGCCATCCTTTTGTGAATGCATACAACAGAATTTAAGAATGACAGAGAACATTGGAAGGGTAGCTATTATTTTGTGAAAGTGCGTGTGTGGGTACGCACCTGTGCATACATATACCGGTCACGATATAAAATGTATTTATTATTCTTGGTCCAGTCAGAAAACATGATTAAAGTGGAGAAGGGCAGCTAGAGCCCCCTCAGTAGGCCGTTCTGAACTCTGGATGAACAGGAAGGAGCTGGTGTGAGGCCGCCAAGAGGGGTGGCCCACCAGGAGGTTGGCCGGGAGGGAGACCAGCGGAGCCCCTGCTGGGTGGGCTGAGCTGGGGATGGGGAGGGGTGGGCCGGGAGCTGAGCAGAGAGTGCAGTGTGCTTCCTCCACCCCCACAGGCCTCTTTGGCTTCGTGATCCTGTCCCTGCTGCTGGTGCCCATGTACTACATCCCCGCCGGCTCCTTCAGTGGAAACCCCCGAGGGACGCTAGAGGACACGCTGGACGCCTTCTGCCAGGTGGGCCGACAGCCGCTCATCGCCCTGGCGCTGCTGGGCAACATCAGCAGCATCGCCTTCTTCAACTTTGCGGGCATCAGCGTCACCAAAGAACTGAGCGCCACCACCCGCATGGTGCTGGACAGCCTGCGCACCATTGTCATCTGGGCACTGAGCCTGGCACTGGGCTGGGAGGCCTTCCACCCTCTGCAGATCCTGGGCTTCTTCATCCTCCTGATGGGCACCGCCCTCTACAATGGGCTGCACCGCCCACTGTTGACTCGCCTGGCCAGGGGCCGGCCCTCAGCAGAAGAGGGCGAGCATGAGAGACTGCTCGCTGGTGCTCGGACTCCCATCAATGATGCCAGCTGAGCCTCTGGTGGGTTCTCTGCTGCTACCTGGATGCACCTTGTCCACCCTGAGGCCGAGGCCACACAGTGGACAGTGTCCTGTCCCCAAGGCCTCACCCTGCCCCTCCTCACAGACCCCCAAACCCCCCAGAGCAGCTGCTGCCACAGGAGATGACCAGACACCCAGGTCCTCCTTTGTCACCACCCCCGGCAGCCCCCACAGGCCTGAGTGCGGTGACCTACGCCCTGCCAGGTTCCCACCCCACACCCCCCAAGCCCCTCCTGCAGCACTAGCACTAAATCATGAAGTGGTATCGCAGGAACTAACATTCCTAAGATTTCCTCCTAAATCATACGCTAAATTTGGTTCTCCAGAGAAGAGAGGTCAGTGAACAAATTCAAACCAGAACTAAGCGCCATATTTTCTAGAACTAGTAGGCTCTTCGCTAACCCTGTCCTGGAGACCTAAGTTTTAGCTGGACTCTGCCACAAACACAGCATATGTCCCCCAGCCCATTACCTACTGGCCCTGGGCCTTGGGGTCCTTGTCTGTAAAGCAGAAGGTGCAGTTGCTGCGGCTTCAGTACCTTCCAGCCTCGGCCGGGCCCACCCTGCGGGAGAGGAGGAGCCCGTTCCTTGGAAATGCCCCTTTGCCCACGGTGCCTCCGCCCCGTGCCAGTGTTAGCCCTTGCTCCCACGCTCTCAAGGCCTCCCTGCCTGGGGGAGATGTCAGGGGGATTTCCAAGCAGCCCTTAATAGCAGCTTTTATGAACTCTTCACCTTCCATTTTAAAGATGAAAAGACTGAGGCCCAGGGACGTAAGTGGTTTTGTAAGAAGGCTCTCCTGCTGTGGACTCTGGCCATGCACTTGGGATCCAGAGCACATCTGGACCTCAACCCCACCCCCAGCAACCTGACTCCCTAAATATACTTCCAGGGTGATGAATGTACAGCACTGCACCATTTAGAGTAATTCTGGTACCCTAGGCATGTGTTAAATGCACAGCGGTAATCCTCTGGCGTAATAACCTGCTCAGGTGCGTGCAGATGAAGCCGTGGCCCAGAGGTGGTTAACTGGCTTCCTCACGGAGCCAGCAGTCCAAGCTAGGTTTGCCTGATTCCAAACCTACAGCTCCACCCACCGTACAGATCTCTGGGGTCGGGTTAAATTTCCCATGGCCAGAATAAAAGCTTCATGTGCTGTTGTCCTTCCCACCCTGAAGAGAGGGGACTGGCATTGGGGACCCCAAGGAGCGGAGCGGCTCTTCCTTATGGAGTTCCTCACTCCGTGGCAGTTTCTGGAACCTCAGACCATTTTTCTGGGCAGCTCAATCATAAAACAAAACACCGAATGCCTTCCTTAAAATAGATTCTGGGGGAGGGGATCTTTGACAAGCAAAGCCCTCAGGCTGTGTGAAAATCAGCAGGTTATTACAGTTTGTTGGGAGAGGAGGGCCTCTCCATGCCACCAGCTCCGAGTCCCAGGGGCCCCGGAGTTTTTGTGGGTCACAGTATGTGCCACAAAAGAAGGAAATGGAGGGTGAGTGTGGTGGGGACTCCAACCGCCCTATCCAAAAGAACTGGGACCTTACAGTGTCGTTTTAGGCTCTATTTTTAAAAACAAAAGGGAAATTGGCAGTGTGGCTTTTTTTTTTTTTTTTTTTTTAATGGGAGGGAAGGAGCACAAGGGTTAAACATCAGGCCTGCCACCAAATCGGGCAAATCACTTGACCTCTGGAGCTTTGGGTCTTCACATCTCTAAAGTGGGAAAGCCGGCCCTCCATCTTGCCGGATGAACGCAAAAATCACATGAGATAATAAATCGAAGGTGCCTGTAAATGCCAGCACACAGTGGACTGTCATGTCAGGCTGCACTGCCCACCAGGGTGGTCTGCCGGGGGCACGGAAGTCCCAGCAGAGGCCCAGCACAGAGCATCAGTTTTTGCTCAGAGGGGAAGAAATGTTTTAAAATACACCACCATGGAAAAAAAAATACACCATGTTTGAGGAGAATACAAAATTCCCATCTATTTTAAGACAAAACAAGATGCCTCAAGAACACTTTATGCCGATGGTAGATACCCTCCCAGCCCCCGGAGATGCGTTCACTCTCTCCTGTCGCTCGGGTGCTCTGGAGGGTGAGTCCGAGAGGCCTCGCTGGTCGTGTGGGCAGGAGGGTAAGGACCACCACTCTCTCGCTGAGTGGAGTAAGGGGTTTCGGAATGGTGGAAGTTTGGTGTGGAGGTTCCAAACCCCAAAATCAGAACTGACTGATAATGGGCTTCTGTAAACATCAGTTCGAAGACTGTAATTTAAACCATGTGCATCGTAGCAGACTGCTCAATCCCTGCCCCTTGCAAAGTGGTCTTGGAGGGAAGCCTAAGGGGCTAGCTGCAGGACCGCGATGTAGCACCTGGGGTGGCCCATGGGCTCCTCCACCAGGAATCGGCCCGCAAGGCAGAGATTTAGCACCATACCAAGTGGTTCCATTTGCCTTCACTTTGTACAAAGGTCTCTGCTAGTTTGATGAACAGCGCTCTCAAAGAGGTCAGATCTCCGACCCCTGCTGAGGACAGCAGGAGGAGTGGAGCATAGGGCCTCCTGGTGTAGGGGAAAGAAGCAGAATCAGAAGTCAGTTGTGTTCGCAGCCCCACTTCGACTTTGGGTGACCTTGGACAAGTCATGTTACCTCTCAAGACCTTAGCTACCTAAGAGGTTCTCAGCATTACTAAATATGTATACCTCCCTGACGCGCTTACAGATTAACCTCATGCTTTCATATTTGCCTTGGTTAAAAGCCCCTTTGGCCTTTTGTTGACTACATCCTTTCTAAACTTAAGGTCAACAGGGAATTTCCCCTAGCTATAAAAGTTTATAAATCACCCATCTTCATTAGGAACACTTGTCAAAAACTATTCAGTGAAGGATTACTATCTCAGAATTTAGCCAACTGTATTGGGAATGGATGTGCTCCAAGGGCTGTGGATCTGTGAAAGAAAAACAGGAGACAAATGTGTAAAGAAAGAATTCCAGCACAGTGTGATGTGCACAAGAGGCCTTTGTATGAGATACAAAGGAGGCTGTATAGGAATGATCAGCTAACTCAGCCGAGAACCAGAGAGCTCCACTTGAGCTGGATGTTAAAGACTGGGCAAGAGTCCCCGGGGAGACTTCCTCCAGGAGGAAGGAGCAGCTTGTAAAAAAGCACAGAAACATGTAAGTGATGTATTCAAGAACTGCAGCTAAGTAGACAGGTATGCCGATAAGCATGCAACGCTAAAAGTGGCCAGAGACAAGGTCAGAGAGGTGGACAGGCGCCCAGGTGGTGCTTTTAGATTTTGCTGAGGCATGAGAACTCTGTAGACAGTAGAGTACCCTGGGGGAGTTTTAGGCAAGGGAGTGATGTGATCCAAATTGCTGTTTGGAAAGATCACTAAAGTCAGAGACCAGTGAAACAACGTTTAATTAGAGTCTGAACTAGAGAAATGGTGAATGAATGCAAGAGCCATTCAAGGAGTAGACTAACATTTTAGAGCCCTTGGCTGTCGGATCTTCTATTGCATAAGCCACCACCAAAGAGTGGGTCTTCTGGACCAGACTGCTCACCCCACCCTCCATCACAATAGAACCACGAGTGTCCCCAACTACAGCTGCTTCCCTTTTCTTTCCTGCCTTCCTTTGCCCTTTTTTCCCTCATTTTAAAAACTCGTAAAATACACACAACAAAACACCGTTTTGACCATTGTGAAGTGTTCAGTGGCATTAAATTCTCGTTGTTGTGCAGCGGTCACCACCATCCATCCCCAGAACTTTTTTATCTTCCCAAACTGAAACTCTGTACCCATTCAACACTACTCCCCATTCCTCCTTTCCCGTGAGCCCCTGACAACCACTATCCTACTTTCTATGAATTTGACTACTCTAGGTACCTAATGTAAGTGGAATCATACAGTACTCCTTTTGTGTCTCTTGTGTTTTGCTTACCACAATGCCTTCATGGTTTATTCATGTTGTAACATATGTCAGAATTTACTTTCTTTTTAAGGCTGAATACTATCTCATTGTATGTATGCACTACATTTTGTTTATTCATCCATTTGGACATTTTGGGCTATTGTGAATAACATTGCTGTGAGCAAATACCCGTTCAAGTCCGTGGTTTTAATTCTTTTGAATGTATACCCAGAGGCGGAATTGCTGGATCATATGGTAATTCTACATTTAATTTTTTTGGCTGATCAACATACTATTTTCCACTCTGGCTGCACCGGTGGACAAGGGTTCCACGAAATCACTGATTTCGTAATGACATTTTCCCTGATTAGGATACATGTTAACTGGAGCACATTTAGAAAATGCAAGAAAACAAAGTGTAGAAAATAAAATCTCCTTTATTCTAACTATCCAGATGTACATTTGGCCGGAAGACGTATTATCTCCAACATGAAGGGAAGGGGTCGTTTCCCTAGGAGGATTCTATTGCAGTGCTGGAGAGTGTGATCCAAGACATGGTCATATCCTGGCTGTCCCACGACCCCAATCATCAATAACGTTCATGCAGTTAAACTGGCTTCTGAGCCATATTCGTGGGATGTTCCTGGGAGGGTCACAGAGGCGACAAGGGGTTGTCCCATTCTCTGTGGGTCTGTCTCCTCATCTTTAAAAACCACTTCAGGGTTGATAGGGCAAAACACAAAATGTTTTAATAAAGTGATTTCTCTTGAGAAACGCGTTCTACAAACGCACTAACTACATCTTCAGGGTAGAGCTTTCTTTTTCCATACACAGAGTCCCCGAGGACGAGGGTCCGATCCCTCAGAACTGAGCACCCGCCCCAGCAGGCAGAGGGCAGAAGTTCCCGCCTCCTTTCACTTCTCCAGGTTCCCATTGGCTGATTCCTACCGTCGATCCGCTACGTCCCCGCTCTCTCCTCCTATCGCCGCTAGCCTTCCGGCCTGTGCTCTCATTGGCCCTCCCCGCAGTCGCTCTGCGCCAGGGGCGTTCCAGAGGCAACCACTGGGAGTTGCTGAATTCTGGTTTTAAAAAACGCCGCCAGTGAAGTGGCAGTGCGGGCCCTGGAACCGCGGTGGCGCGGGGGGTGGCCGGAGCGCTCACCTGGTCGGGGCACGCGGCCGGGACGTTCCCGGGCTTCTCCCCGGACGCTAGCCTCTGTCCCCGGACCCCGAAGGCCGAGAAGAAGCTGCGGGGCCGCCACCCTCCGAGCCCGCCATGGGCCCGCGCCGCCGGAGCCGCAAGCCCGAAGTCCCAAAGAGGCGCCCCGTGACCCCGGCCGCCGGCGCACCCCGGCGGGGCCCCTCAGGTAACCGGCCGCGGCCCCTTGCCCTCGAGCCGGCCTCCTTGCAGCCTGGCTGTGATCCGCGTGCCCATTTCACAGACCAGAAAACCGAGCTCGCTTGCGGAGCCCGGGCCCGAATCTCCCGACTTCCGGCTGGCGCTCCCCTGCGGGCGGGCAAAGCCCTGCTGCGGGTCGCACCTGCTCGGGCCCGGCCCAAGTTCCAGGCCCCGCAAGGGACTGGGGAAAGCAGTTTGGAGGAGGAGAAAGGATGGCCCAGGCGGCCTGGCTCCAAATACTAATTCTTGCTACAGCTCGCATTTGAGAAATTGCCACTAACCAGTAATTGTGTTCAACTCCTTCCGTGAATTATCTCAACTTTACATTGTGCCCATTTTACAGATGAGAAAACTGATGCACCGACAGGCCCGGTAACTTGGAACAAGGTCACACAGTTTGCTCCAGCAGACAGGATTTTTAAGTGTTTGTGCTTTTTCTAAACTGCAAAATTATCGGCCGCTTTTTGTGACAATTTCAAACAGTTCTACTTCTGGAAGGTGCCCTTCCAGGTGTCCTTATGCATGTGTGTGTTTCTTCAGTAGTGGCGTTGTTGGGCATTAAGTAGAGTGCTCTCACCTTGTTCCCTTCCTGAGGTTTTGGGCCGTGAAAGACAGGTCTGTGGTCCTGTGGTCTGGTGGATGGGAGACCCACCGGGCAAGAACTGTTCCTTGTGGCAACCACTGCTTTGCTTGTCTCCTGCTCCATAGTTAAGAGCAGGGTGAAAAAAGTGTATTATGGGTTATTTTCTTTCCTGAACCTTACATTTTTTTTTTAAGATTTTATTTATTTATTTGACAGAGAGACAGACACAGAGAGAACACAAGCAGGGGGAGCAGCAGAGGGAGAGGGAGAAGCAGACTCCCCGCTGAGCAGGGAGCCAGACCTGGGGCTATCATGACCTGAGCAGAAGGCAGATGCTCGACCCACTAAGCCACCCGGGCGCCCTTTTCCTGACCTTAATAACCTTTGCATCCAGCCAACTTGCTCTGAATTCTCTTAATTCTATTGTTCAGTTGCTTTGATTGAAATGATTGAGTAGGTTATTGTCTGCAAATAAGGACTTTTTTTCTTTTTTTTTTAAGATTTATTTATTTATTTGGCACAGAGAGAGAGAGAGAGAGCACAAGCAGGGGGAGCGGCAGAGGTAGAGGGCGCAGAGAGGGAGCAGAGTACCCACTGAGCAGGCTTCATCCGAGGATCCCTAGATCATGACCTGAGCCAAAGGCAGACAAGACGCTTAACCGACTGAGCCATCCAGGCGCCCCTGCAAATAAGGACTTTTGAATCTTCTTTTTCACTTTTATATATTTTATTTCTTAGTGTATTTTATTAGTGAGGCCCTGAGATTAGTACTGAAATAAGAGCAGTGTTTTGGCCATCCTTGTCCTGTTTTTTCCTTTCTTTCTTTCTTTTCTTTTTCTTTCTTTCTTTTTTTTTAAGTAGGCTCCACGCCCAGAGTGGAGCCCAGCCTGGAGCTTGAACTCACGACCCTGAGATCAAGACTTGAGCTGAGATCAAGAGTCCTGCGCTTCACCGACTGAGCCACCCAGGTGCCCCCCCCATTTCTATTTTTAACACAAATACTGTTAAGTATGTTGTTTGCTGTTGCTTGGACTCCTGGTTAAATCAAATGTTTTATCTCAAATGGACACTCGGCAGGTCCTGGCGGTCCTGCTTTTCCATTCTCCCCATTGACTCTTCCATACCTTTTTCTTCAAATTCCTACAACTCCAGCCCCCCAACTCACTCACAGCTGATGATGACCTTGTCGCAAGTTTGCTTCACTGAGGAAACAAGCCTCCAGACGGCATTCCCCTTATCTTCTCACAACAGAGAACCCCGGTCTCCCCTTTGTATCAAAAGCCACTCCTGCTACACGGGCTCCTGGCCATCTTTTTCTCTCACCTTTGCAGGGCTTTCTGTTAGCCTTTCCACCTGCACTTAGAATTAGATTCATACTCCTCAAATTGGCATTCCACAAATGTGCTCTGCTCTTTCTGATCTAAAGAAAAAGAGCAGGGGTGTTTCCTGCCCCCACACCTCTGTCTCTCCTAGTCCCCATTTCTCTCTAGTGCCTTTCATAGCCACCTTTTTGTAAACGGCCAGACTTAAGACGACTTAAGACTGCACACGTGTGTGTTTCCCCTCTTCCCAGGCACCGTGGAACCCCTTCTAGTCTGCCTCCCCACAACTGCTTCCCCTCCTTCTGGTGCACAGGAAGTACTCTTGTCAAGGTCACCAGCTACTTTAGTGTTGTTAAATCCAATAGTCGCGTCTGTGTCCTTCTCTTGCTCTGAGAAGCATTTGACACAGGGGGCCACTTTCTCCTAGAAACACTCTATCCCCTTGGCACACACTCTGCCGTTCCTGCCTAGTGTTCTTTACTGCCCGTGCCACCTCTCCACTACAACTTGATGTTGGACTCCTTGCTGTCCACCTTTCTTTCCTGGCCCTGGGAATGGATGGGACCAAGCGGTCCCATCCATTCCCAGGGCCCTGCATACCGCTCCCACATCAAGCACGCTCACGTTTATATCTCTAGCCCAGATCTCTCCCCGGCCTCCAGATCCCCATATCCAGCTGCCTTTCTACCTGGGTTTGTCAGTGGAACATGTATAAAACCAAACTCTTGATTACTCCCTTCCAGTCTCGTCATCTGCAGTTTTCCCCATTTCAGGAAGTGGCACAGGCACCCCCTAGTTGTGTAAGCCAGAAACCTGGGAGACAGTCTCTTATCCCCAAACACAAGTACCTTCCGGCCGTTCTACCTCCAGGTCACATCCTTCATCACACCACTTGTCTGTACTCCCACCCGCTAGTCCCAGCCACCTGTGCCCTAACCTGGCTGCTACTCCTCCACTCGTCCCTCGCCGCAGCTGGACTCCTCGTTAAAACGTCAATAGAGGGCGCCGGGGTGGTGCAGTCGGTTAAGCGCCTGCCCTCGGCTCAGGTCATGATCCTGGAGTCTCAGGATCGAGTCCCGCGTCGGGCTCCGTGCTCAGCAGGGAGCCTGCTTCTCCCTCTGACCCTCCCCCCTTCCTGCTCTCTCTCTCTCTCTCTCTCAAATAAAGAAATATTTTAAAAAAATAAAATGTCAATAGATCTGGGCGCCTGGGTGGTACAGTTGGTTGAGCGTCTAACTCTTGGTTTCCGCTCAAGTCCTGATCTCAAGCTTACGCGAGCAGGCACCATGGTGGGTGGGCTCTGCGCTCAGCGTGGAGTCCGCTTGAGGTTCTGTCTCTCTCTGCCCCGCCCCCTGTTCATGCGCATGAGCAGGGGGAGGGGCAGAGAGAGAGGGAGAGGGACGAGCAGATACTCAGAACCCTGAGATCATGACCTGAGCTGAAGTCAGACTCTTAACTGACTGAGCCACCCAGGTGCCCAATAAGTAAATCTTTAAAAAATTAATAAATAAAATGTAAGTGGGGATCACCTCTCTGTCTTGGTTAAAACTCTCCCATAGGGGCGCCTGGGGGGCTCAGTTGTTAAGCATCTGCCTTCGGCTCAGGTCATGATCCCAGGGTCCTGGGATCGAGCCCCGCATTGGGCTCCCTGCTCCGCGGGAAGCCTGCTTCTCCCTCTCCCACTCCCCCTGCTTGTTCCCTCTCTCGCTGTGTCTCTGTCAAATAAATAAATAAAATCTTTTAAAAAAAGAAAAGAAAACTCTCCCATAGATTCCCATTACTTTGGGATTAAATCCCAACTCCGTATGTTGGCACTGCAAGACCCAACAATTGAGTATCTAACCCCAGTTCTTTCCCATGATCTCTCTAGTTGGTTACTTTTCATAACCACTTGTTCCGGGGCCGGATTTCAGGTCTTCTCTTACACCTCTGAGGCTATTACGCGTATTTCTCTCCAAGTCTCTTTTTTCTCTGTTAACTCAGATTCCTCCAGTATTGGTTATTTTGTTTGTTGAGTTTGGTTCCTTCCTTTCATGGTGTTGTCCTTCTTACATTGGTGAGATTTGGTTGTGTTCATCTTTCCATTGTCTGTGACTGCTGTGTCTGTCTACTAAAGGCTGCCTCCAAGTGAGTGTGGATTGTGGACCAGTGGCGGGGGAGGCAGATGCCAGTAGCCTGACTCCTGAGTGTGGGGCTTCCCTCCTAAATGTCACCAGTCCCCTGATCGCTGGCCCGCGTTCCCCACCCAGAGATAACATCTCCAGGGCCCGCTGCGTGGCACAGGCATCTCTGGATTGCCTCACTGTCCCCATTTGCTCATGCAGCTCTTCTAACACTTTGGAATTAGGTCACTATGAAATCCCTCCTGTGGATTTACTACTTGGTGTGGCTTCTCTTTCCTCGGTTGGACCTTGAGTAACATTTCTGAAGCTAATTTTCTCCTTCGAAATGTTAGTTTTGGGGGCGCCTGGGTGACTCAGTCGGTTGGGCGTCTGCCTTCGGCTCAGGTCATGGTCTCAGGGTCCTAGGATCGAGCCCCAAGTCGGGTTCCCTGCTCAGTGGGGAGCCTGTTTCTCCCTCTCCCTCTGCCTGCTGCTCCCCCCTGCTTGTGCTCTCTCTCTCTCTGTCAAATAAATAAATAAATAAATAATCCTATTAAAAAAAGTATTAGTTTTCATGGAGGTTTGTTCTCTTTTTATTCTTTGTTCAGCTTCTGAGCGGTTTACTGATTTTTGTTGTTCCTTGGTTTTATTTATCTAACAATCGTACTGTTTTTTGTTTGTTTTACTCTCTTTTTCATTAATTTATTTTACTACCTGGAACATTTGGTTATCTTCTTTTGGTTTATTTTCATAATTCTCTTCCTAACATTTGAGTTGAATGCTGAGCTCAGCTGCCTTTTCAAGCTTTTGTTTTCTAATGGAGAATCAATCTTGAGCCTGTGCATTTTCTTCTAGTACTATTTAGCTATAGCTCATAAGTTTTGAGATATAGACTTTTGATTCACTTCTAAATAGTCTAATGTCAATTAAGTTTCCTCTTCAACACAAGAATTAGAAGTTGTTTGTTTGTTTGGGTTTTTTGGGGGGATTCTTGTGTTTTTAATTTCAAATCAGAGAGTTTGGCTTTTTTGACCTCTACCTTTGGGAATATTTTTAAGATTTTTTTTTCGTTTTTGTTGTTGTGAGAACTGGTCTTTGAGCCAAAGGCTCTGGCTCCATAGCCCACTGGCCCAACACAGGGACCGAGTTATGCCACGTCTGAGGTCCCTTCTTGGCCACAAAGAAGCTCTGGCCAGTTGTCTTCACCTCTTTGGGCCTCAGGATAACTGAGACAGGGAATTGTGTTGGAGAACCTCTCAGATTCCTTCCAGCTCTTAAAAAAAAAAAAAGACCTAAACATAAAATAACTGAGTTTCCAATCTAGATGAGAAGGATAGAAGAAATGCCCAAAGTACTGCGGGGCTCAGAGGAGGGAGGTGACCTATCAGTTTGGAAGCGATTGGGAATCAGGAAAGGCTTCACAGAAGAGTTGGCATTTAAGATAATACCCTCAAAGGATTTTTATTGAGGATAAGATCCTCACGGGATCACTCATTCATTTAACAAATATCATCTATCCACTGTTCTCCAGTTGCTGAAGATAATCAGAGTAAATGGTAGACCGAAATCCCTGCTTTTGTGGAGCGTATGGTAGACTAGTGATCTGACAGTTTGCCTGTCGCAGCCACGCTGAGAGGCACCACTACTGACCACGACCCTTGCTGACCCAACTCTTTTGCTCAGGCACTTCCTCCCGTCAGCGTGGTCCCCGGAGATACCGGGTTCTGAAGGAGATCCGAACGCTTCAGAAGAGCACAGCCCTGTTGATAAGGAAGAGCCCCTTCAGCCGCCTGGTGAGCTCCACCAACCCCCATGCTGCCTCCTTTCTTTAAATCTCCCAGGTAGTGGGGACCCATTCACCTCTTGCCTGAATGGCTAAGGGAACCTCTTCTCTAACCTGGAAGAGGACTCTTCGTCTTTGGAAAACATGAGCCCACTGAAGGCACCTTCTGGTTCTTTATGGAATTAATTTCTAACCCCCACCACCTCTGAAACTGTGCCCTTTGATTATATAAATAGGAACTCTCTCATCCATCCATGCTTTGAGCTCCCTTCCTGCCCTGGGAGATACCCTCCTACTCTCCCCACCACCAACAGGACTCATGCCAATTCCATAGCTGCCAGGAGTTGACACCGGTGACTAGTTAGGTCCTAAGATTAAGGGTCACAAAGGTATCACGGAAATGAAGATTCATAGAAACTCATGGAGAGAATCTTCCCCTTGAATCTCTCTTCTTTTACTGTCTACTCCTCCCCTCTCCCCCCCGCCTTGCTCCCCATCCCCCTCCTTCACAGGCAAGAGAGATATGCATTAAATTCACTCGAGGGGTGGACTTCTCTTGGCAAGCCCAGGCCCTGTTGGCCCTACAAGAGGTAAGAAGGGGGCCCAGGTACGGTTGCGTGGGGACCGGGGAAAGGCGTTCTGGAATTCCACAGGGCTGACTGAGGCATGGCACACGTTGACTCTTGCCTCTTTGAAGACAGCATCAAGGAACACCCGGGGTTTGGAGGCCGGATCCTTGTGTGGTGGTAGCAGAATTCCCAGGCACAGTCCACCCTCATTCTGTGGGCAGCATTTCAGACAGTGCTGGGAGCCCTCAGAGACCAAGGGCGGCGGGGCTCCAAGAACAAAGCCGCCCCTGCCCCGTCGTATGTCAGTCTTTGGACTTGTCTCTCTGCCCCCAGGCCGCAGAAGCATTTCTAGTTCATCTCTTTGAGGACGCCTACCTTCTGTCCTTACATGCCGGCCGCGTTACTCTCTTCCCGAAGGATGTGCAGCTGGCCAGGAGGATCCGAGGCATTCAGGAAGGGCTTGGCTGAGCCCCTGCCCCGATCTCTGTAAGCCTTTCCTGCCCGCCGCAGAGAGAGCGCCCTTTGGGGAAGAAGCCCCCAGCCTCTCATCCCTGCGATGGGAGTTTCTCTGAAGGAATTTCCATCCGTGGTCCCTTGCTGTCTCACCTTCCCTTTGTTCTCTAGGAAAGGTCTGACTTGGTTTTAGCTTGAATGGTTGGGGTTCTATGGCTCCTGCCCTTTTGTACAATGTTAAATAAAAATATTTATCTATCTACTGATGTCCAGACGACATGAGTCTGTCAGAGTTCAGCCTCTGTTTTACAAGGACCAGATGACTCATTGTGGTGAAGGGAAGTTTTGCTTTTGAAAATGCCTTGGTAGTAAATGTGATACCTGACTTTCAGGGATGACACCAGAGCCTCTGTCCAGAGCCAGGAACAGATCCGTGGAGGGTAAGGAGGCGTCTGGACTCACTGTCCCTGAGCAGGGTGCATGTTGCTTTTGTAATTGGTTCTTTCAAGAAGGAGAAGGCTGCGTGGCTTTCCTCTGTAACAGAGGTAATATATGAGAAAATCAACAGCATTCCAAAGGACTGAGAATTCTTTTTAGATAATGAGACTCCAAGGTTCGCTTCAGTTTGCAAATGATTCACATGACTGCTGAATGATTTTGAAGACATCAGACTTCTGGGCTATGGAAAAAATGGATATTTGCTTATTATTTTAGATGTTCCTGTACCGCTTACATTTTTTGCCATATGTATAGTTACTTTTCTTTGAAACATAAGGGAAGAAAATAAAAGGCAACCACTTCGTTCAGTTGCACAGAAGAGCCTGGAACATCTGCACACAAATCTGTCCTTCGGTTAAGCTCACCCTGAGCGGCAGCAGCAAGTGAGGCGTGGACCGGGACTGCCAACAACTGTGTAGCTTTTTAAAAAACTCAGTTGGGGTTAAAATAGAAAATCTTTAATTCCTGATGTTCTGGTTCCTTTGAGTAAAATTCCTGTCAAATTCATTCAGAAATTTGTAAATCATAGACAGCATATCATGATTTATACTTTAGAATTTTTCATCCCGGGATTTTAAAGTGCCTTTTCAAAGTTTTTACAGGTGTTTTTTATAACTTCTTTGTGCAGAGATAATAAAAATAAGAATACTTCTTTAATGAGAAAACTGTAAAGCAAAGTTACAGTTACTGCACGCAGAGATGCTACATTTTTGGTGTGTTCATGTTCAGTTCTCCATTTGTACACCTTGTTGCAAGCAGCCGCCATTTAAACAAGAGAATGGAGGGATGTGTTTTGGGCTCCAGTGGAGTAGAGTGTACGCGGATAAAAACCTTGCCCTTCTGTTATAACCGAAAGCAGCTGAAGAGATTTCCAGAGAAATGGAAAGGGCCACCGGAAGACTTTTAGACTTTGCATGTGATGGAAATGATTAGTGAGGGTGGACCTCTGACAATGATGTGTCAGGTGACCAAGTTCTTAGACGAACTGAAGGGAAGGACCAAGTTCTGTTGTTGAATAAATTTTAACCCTTTGGAAAAACCTCTTCCTGTTCAATATCAAGTCCTATTTATACAGACATTCGAATAAAGTGTATCTATCGATGAATATATTTAAAGTTCTTGTCAGAGTATTATTAATTAGAAGAGTATAGTCTGCCTTGGGGCGCCTTGGTGTTTCAGTTGGTTAAGTGTCTGCCTTCAGCTCAGGTCATGATCTCTGGTTCCTGGGATCAAGCCCCACATCCGGCTCCCTGCTCAGCAGGGAGCCTGCTTCTCCCTTTCCCCACCCCCACCCCCCTGCTTGTGCTCTCTCTCACTCTCTCAAATAAATAAAATCTTTAAAAAAAAAAATTATAGTCTGCCTTTAGTTTTCTTTAAATTGACACCTCTGCTCTCTCAAAATTGTACTAACCACCGCACCTGGCTGGCTCAGTCGCTACAGTATGCACCTCTTGGGGTTGTGAGTTCAAGGCCCAGGTCAGGCAGGGAGACTACTTTTTAAAAAAGAAATTTTGTTAGTAAATTAAATTGTACTACCCAGGACACATGCAACACATACCACATGCCAGGCAGGATCCACTAGGTGGAATTTACAGGATAGCATGAGAATAAGTAAATCCCATCACAATAATGTTGTATAATACTGTTAGAGTTTACTGTAAACTTTGAGTGCTTATGTTGTTGGGAGTTTTGTATTTGTTTTTCTGGATGATTCCATCCACATTATCTTTCCATTTGATCTTTTATTTCTGCTTTCACCTTTTTAATATCTAAGAACTCTTAGCTTTGGAATGTTTCTTTATTACAGTATATCAAACAAAGAAGAATGTAATGGAAGGGATAGTTTAATTAATATCAGGAGGGCTGGAAGAGCAAACGGGAGGAGAGGATGCTACCCAGAGATCAGGAAGCCTCTGGCGCCTGCAGCCCACACCATGGCCACTCTGCTGGAAGTGCGCCCCCCCCCCGCCCCCCGCCAGGACACTGTTAGAGCTGCACTTGCTACTGAGCGGGAACTCAGGGAGCCCTGCTCCAACCAGTCCTGCTGACACCACCACTGACCCCGAGGATGCCCTGGCCCTCCTCTGCGGCTTCTGCTGCCACGGGCCCTGGCAGACCGCAAAAGGAAAATGTCTCCTTTTTCTTCCCACCTTCCAGGCCCCACCAGTATTTTCCACTGGCAGAACTTAACCAGAAGCAGCTGCAGGAGAGTCTCGGAAAACAATTGGCCGCCTTCTAACCCCCTTGTGTTACAGAGAACTTGTAGGGTGAGAAAGGAGCTTGGAGCCTATAGAAACATCATCTGCACACATCCCCAGTCTCATGGGTATAATGCCATTTTAAGGATATTTATTAGGATTTTTTTTGTTACTGGTTTTTGTTTTTGCCACACGGTCTCTTTGTTTTCCAAGTTGATTTTTCCTGTACAGACAAGTCTCTCCCTCACGACGGGACTTGCCTGGGAGCCTAGCTGGGGAGTGCCTCCTGGGCCCTTTGCTGGGGAGCCCCGTTCTCTCCGCTAGCCGGCTGCCCTGGGGAGAGTCATCAGCCTGCAGGGAGGAGAGAGGCCTAGCTGGGTCTAGCTGCCAGCTGGAAGAGAGCTGAGGCAATCCATATTTAAAATCCACTGCATCCTTACTCTCCCTGGCCCACCCCCCCACCCCACCCCGAGCCCCAAGCGTCCAGACTTGTGCTGGGATGGGGAAGAGAGTCACCCGGTGACTGAGGGCTGGGAGAGGAGCACCGGGGGAGTTGCCTCCTCAACAGTGCAACCAGTCCTCCCTCCATTAGCCCGCCTCATGCACACCCAGTTGCGGAGGGACTCGGTGCTCCCAGTTCCTGAGGCTTGTGAAGATTTTGCCGTATGCATTGTGGTGATCCTCCCTTTCCACCTGCTAGCTGAGGATCCCGCTCTCATGGGTCTGTGGGGGCAGTTTCTATCATCCGCCTGCCAACTTTTAGGACTTCGGTACTGTTGGCCCCTCTCCCCATCTCCCCATCCCTGTGGATTCATGCTGAGCCTCTGACTGTAGAGAATTGCAGATTGGCAGCTGTTAGCTTTCTTCACAGGAGAAAGGTGATTCCACTATTTTCTGGGTTCTATGTTTGCTGCTGAGAAGTCAGCCGTCAGTCCAACAGTTGCCACTTTGAAACTAGTGTCATTTTTCTGGCGATCTCTCCTTGAAAGATTTTTCTTCATTTTTGGTATTCTGCAATGTCATTATGACCTGTCATATGTGTGGATTTATTTTTATTTATCTTAACACATTCATTGGGCTTCCTGGATAGGGGGTGATGTCTTTTCATCAATTTTGGAAAATTTTCAATCATTATCTCTTCAAATAATGCCTCTCCCCATCTCTCTCCTCTTTCTGGGTTGCCAGTTTTCTTACCACTGAATCCTCGATGATGTTTCTTTCCTTCTTCTGTGTTCCATCCTTTTGTCTCTCCCTTGCTGCCCACCTAACTGTTTCTTCTGCCCTGCCTTGGAATTCATTGATTTTCTTTCAGCAACATCTAATCCACTTTTAAACCTGACCAAGGGGCACCTGGCTGGTTCAGTCAGTTAAGCATCTGACTCTGGATTTCCAATCTGGTCATGATCTCAGGATCATGAAAATGAGCCCCTAGTCAGGCTTGGTGCTCAGCACAGAGTCTGCTTGAGATTCTCTCTCTCCCTCTCCCTCTGCCCCTCCCCCACATGTGTGCGCACGCTCTCCCTCTCAAAGAAATAAATCTTAAAAAAAAAACCTTGAATGTGGGGCACCTGGGTGGCTCAGTCAATTAAGCGGCTGCCTTCGGCTCAGGTCATGATCCCGGGGTCCTGGGATCAAGCCCCGCATTGGGCTCCCCACTCAGCGGAGAGCCTGCTTCTCCTTCTCCCTCTGCCTGCAGCTCTGCCGACTTGTGCTCTCTCTCTATCTCTCTGTCAAATAAATAAACAAAATCTTTAAAAAAAAAAACCTGAATGATATCTTAATTTCAGTTATTATATTTTTTTATTCTAGAACTTCTATTTGGCTGTTTTCAAAATTATCATGTCACTTTTTTTCTTTTTAAGTATTCTCTACACCCAATGTGGGGCTTGAACCCACAACCCCAAGATCAAGAGTCACACGCTCTACTGACTGAGCCAGCTAGGCACCCCTGTCATGTCACTTTTTATAGTTCCCAGTTTCCTGCTGAAAATGTTGAGCTTGGTTTTTATATCATTTAGCACAGTAAGCACAGTGCTTGGCAGACTGTATCTGATAAGTCTTATATTTAGAGTCCCTATGGATCTGTTTCTATTCGTGTTTTCTGTTGATTCTCACTCCTCGATTACTTTTCTCTTTGGTGCTTGATTACATTTGATAGTATGCCTGACACATCTATATGCGGAAATAATTTGAAACCTAGAATGATATCTTTCTCTAGAGAGCATTGTTTGTTTGTTTGTTTTCCTATCAGGTCCTGGAGGCACTAAACATTTAGAAACACCTTAATGCAATTTCAGAGCTTGAGATTTTCTGAGGCACCCAGAGGATTCTAAGCCAAGGCCCGTCGCAGGTCTGAATTTATTCTCATTCACCTTATTCCTAAAGTACAGCCAATCTGCTTATCCTGCTTGCCTTGGAAGGCTTGTACTTCAACCTTTTTCTCCCTAACCCCACAGGGCTGCCAAAAGTATGGCCCATTTCTTGGCTACTTTTTTAGGACTGGCAAACATTCCCACAAGGAAGTGTTAGGTCAGATCTGCTGTTAAGTTCATCTCTGGATTTCCATCCTCTCTTTGATCTTGGATC